TACCAGATCTCGGTTGCGGGTCTTACCAGGCAGGCCTAAACTAGGTCCTACTCCAGAATGTGGCACTGCAGGCTTAAAAGCTCAGGCTCCTGTGACAGCTGGATGCCGGAGTTTGAGCAGGGCCCTGAGCAGGGGTGGGGAGCCCAACTCTGGCCAGCCCCAGCGTCGCTGCAGAACCTAGCTGTCCTCCACATGTGTTTTCTCATCCCCTGGACAGCTCGCTCTCCTGGGCTTTCTCTAACTCTGCACCATAGAATTCCTCTCCTCCACGCCGTACCAGGACAGCAACCTCTGCTGGGAACTTGTTCCCATGGGGCCACCATGAGGGCTGGAGTCTTTCAGTCTTGCGGTGCCTGCTGCCCGTTACCTAAGAGGAATAACTTGGAGTGGTTTGTCCCCACAGCACTTAGCATCAGTTATTCCCCATGGCCAGTGGCGTATCGATCTGCAGATTTTCCGTGTGACATTTCCATCCCAAGCCTTTAAACTTCCCTTCTTCTTATATCCATGCCACCTCTAGGTTTTATCATTCATTTTGACATTTGTAGATTCAATGTTATAAATAACATAGATGCATATACTCTAATTTTCAATATATCTAAATCTTATTTACTATTACTTTGCTTGGAACATTGCATAGTGTTTTATTACATGGAAAATAAGTTATTTTACACAGTAGAAAGTGTATTATTTTAGCTGAATTTAAACAAATGAATTAAAAGTAAACATATTTACATTAAAAGACAACATAATCAGTAGCTTTCTCTTTGATGATTATAGACAGCTACCAAGAAATGAAACAGATTAAAAGAATTACTAAAACTGCCTCTTGTAACCCTCAAATGTTCGAGCAGACATGTATTTCCCTATAAGCTCATTCATATGCATTACTTCTAAAAAATTCTGTTTGTGACCTGACATTGGAACTGGCATCTGTATTTTTAGTAAATTCACTAGGTGTCTTTGAGTGAGGTAAGCTGAAAGCCACACTCTGAGAAACTATTTCTGTAATTGAACATGACTCAAGGTGAGAAGGAGCCAGGTGAAATTAATGGTATCAGCAAATTCACTTGGAAGTCACCACAGAAAGCTATTTTCTATATAATGTAAGAAAATGTTTTGACCTTTCTTGAAGGTTTTGTTGGAAAGAAACCTGTTTAACTTCAGTGAACCCAGGCCTTTCAAATTCGTAAGGTCCTGTGTCCTCTTCAGCATCAGCACATTTGGAAGAGGCAAACTAAGCCAGCTTTCTTGACGCTGCCATTCCAGGAACAGCTTCTCAAATCCAGACCCTTGGCTGCCTGGCCGACTGCACGCACCCCCAAGTGCCCCCAGGGCTGATGCTGCGGCTGGAACCACCCAGCTCCAACCCCCTTCCAGGCTGGGGAGAACCTGTGCGGTACGACCGAGTCGGGAACACAGACTGTTCTTGTCACCGGGTGTGCATGAGTAGAATTGCCACCTTTTCAAAGGGAATTCAGTGAAATACCCAGCAATTTTGTTCTGAAATTTTAAAATTACTATTGAAAGAATGTAACACCAGTTTGGTATCCAAACAAGAAAACGGCATGGATTTGATGTAGGTCTTTTAACTACTATGAAACAAAGTAGCCGATTGGTAAGATGTAATTGTAGAAGTCAACAGTGTAAGGAGCCTGGCCATACTTCCTTCATTTGCAAGACTTGTTCCTAAATGGATTTCCTAATACATGTTTGGAGCACATGATAATCGCCTTCTTCATGGGAAGCTGTTCCGTGTGCGCAACACACCTTCATTCTTTCTTCCTATCCCCGCCTGCTCGCTCCATCTCTGGGTCCCCTTGCCATTTGCAGAGGAAAGGGAAAAGGATTCTGGAAAGACTCTGGTAGGATACGTGTTACAAAAGTTATAGTTACTTTCTACATTTTATACACAACCAAGTAAGGCTTGTGGAAAAGCACCCTGCTTCACTGTGTTTTCCCCGAGCATAGGAGAGCAACATCCCAGTCCTACAGAACCCTAAAAAGGATTTATAGTTCTGAGTACATTCATGGGATGCCATTCTCATCAGCCCGAGGAAGAAGACATTTGATAACTGTATCATCGTGTTCAAACAAAAGGGCACACAGATGAGTTTATGTAGACATAAGTAATGGAGAGTTTTAGGGCCATCCTGGAATGCCTGTTTCACAATGACTAACGTTTTAATAGGAACACGCTCCTCAAAAAACCATAAATTCTAGACCATGAACTCTTGAGTCCTGTGCCCATTTATCTTCCCATGTGTACTGTCTGACTCACTAAAGGCACCCAATAAGTTCTTGTTGAATTGGTAATAAAAATGGGTGGAAGATAACCCAAGTCAACTTATTTATTTAGCACTGAAGGAGCCACCTAACACCACCATGGAAGTATTTTCCATCTAGGGAATATCAACAAAGTTAAAAATATCCAAAATAAGAAACACCAGTAGGTGATAGTGCTGTTCTATCTTTTATTGTGAATGGACAAGAACAGGTTTTGCATTACCTTTTAGTAGCACAGAGTTATAGCTCTTCTTTGTGTAGTATTTCATGGGAAACAGGAATAGTGTTTTTATTGTGGTTCCCTTCGGGAGGAAATGATGATTAGTGGAAAGTTTTGCAGTCATAGTAAGTTAAAATGGTAGGTTTAAAGGAGGAGCTAGCTTTCTCATTTGAGAATGCTTAATTCTTTGTTCTTTATTTCTAATTGGCAAGTAATAATTATGTACATTTTTGGTGTCCAGCCGGTTCCGATGTATGTGAACATTGTGGGGTGGCTAAGTCATACTAGTTGCTCTCCACTGGGGAGGCCCTTCATGCAGTTTTTCTTGGACTCTGGCATTGCTCAGCTCTATTCAGTGTCAGCTCGAGAGAGAAGTTACTGATGTGGAGAAGTTACTGATGTGAAGACCTCTTGTTTTAAAAAGCGCGTGAGAGTGTGATTTTTATGATAATCTGATTTAAAACAAAGATTTGACCCTTTGGTCCTTCTGATTCTTCTCTTGGGGATTATGAGCAGCACCTCACTCAGCACACACTCAGCAGGAGCATAGCCCCACTCAGCAGCCACATGTCTGCCTCACTGCTGCAAGTCCGTGGCTTTCTGGCTGGGTTTCACAGCTCGCAGTGGGTGCTTCTCTGTGCACAAGGATGCGTTGTTAATAGAAACCCGGGCACCTGCAGCCACATTCGTCCAGTGTGCTGGATCGCTGCTTGATGTCCCCAAGGGCTGCTTCTTTCCCGATGTTTACTTATATTCTTAGCTTCCAGTATAGCCCTTATTATTACCAGAACTGATGCTAGCTGTTCAGTGAAACAGAGACATTTCAGAAGGTTGTAATTATACTCGGAGCCTGTAGGACTTGGGATTCTTATTATTTTAAGTGTAGTTTAATCAGTAAGTTTTAAATTACACCTCGAACTTGGTGCCTCCACAGGCCAGGTGCCCGTGGACTGCACCCTCAGTTTCAGGGAGGTTCTGACAAGCAGTGGGGCTCGCTTTTCCACTGTAAACATGTCTTTAGGGGGTTTTAATTTTCTAGTTTGCACTATTTTAATGGTGAGGGTATTTTTTAATTAAGAGCTTTTTGAGGGTTTCAGTGAGGTCCCTAAAATGCAAACCGTCATCACAACATAAGATCTTTCATGTCAGAGCTCCTCTTGCCTGTGATTGGAAGCCGATTTGAGATGAGGGATTCGAGGTGTGTGCTATCAGTCATGAAATGAGTCCTAGTTATAAAGTCTTATGCAGTGTGATTCTAATTAACTCACTGTGTTGACATTTCTCAAGGTAACATAAAGTGTTATGTTATCTGTTGATAATAATGCATATTTATATGCTATAAATTCAGTTACAATTTAAGGGTAACAATGATATTTATGATGTAGCTCACTAATCATCTTAATAAGGATATATTTTGATAAGTAAATACATTTTTAATTTACCAAATTATTCACAAATTTGCTTTAACATCATATGACTAAATTTCATCAAGTTTATTATTTTATTTTTTGTACCAGGGATTGAACTCAGGACCTTGCTCTTGTGAGGCAGATGTGGTGCCACTGAGCTAAATCCCTGGCCCTCATCAAGTTTATTTTAAAACCAAAGTTTATGTGATTGATAGAGTAGCATACTCATATGGTAATGAGGGCTTATCTGCCTATATGAAACTAATTTATAGATCATGACAAATAACATTTTCTGTATGTATCATGCTTATTTGGGCATTTCTATTTTGGGCAGTCTCTGGGAAATATGAAAAAGTTTTATATTTGCCTTAGTTTGTTTGACCAATCTAATTTCAAAATATCTCTTGCATTTTAAGAATATGAAACAAACAATGAAACAAAATGATATAATTGTTTAGTAAATAAGTATCCACACCTGGAATAAAACTATAGTCACATTTCTCCTTTGAACCTTATTTTGAAATGAAAGTGAAACATTTTACCAGGCCTAAATTTTCTCCTAACTGCAGATCAAATGCAGGTTTTCCAATACTAGTGATTTATTATGCAATTATTATAAAAATGTATTTATGGTAGTAATCTTTCTTCAGGTAATTAAATCATTATGTAGCAATATTAACACAATGGTGAAAATGTCACTTCATAGTGTTGGATTGGAGAAGTAAGTAATCTGAAAGAACAAACAATAAAGGTAGGTATTATAGCTCAAGAATATACATCTCAAGAGTATGTATCTCAAGAAGTCTTCCAGCACTTTCGACTTAAGACAGTTAGACATTTTTTCTCGTACAGTTATGTATATACCCAAAGAAAAGATGCCCACAATATAAATACTCATAGAGTTTGTTTTGAGTTATATGTAATCTGAATTTAAATATGTCAGATTTGGAATAAAGTCAATGTGTTGCAGATGTAACTGCTCAGTATATATAGTGTCTTTGTAGGCCACTAAGTTCTTACACAAATAATACTCTAACTTCTAAGCCCAGTCTTTTGTCTAAATGCCTCTCCTCTCTTTCCTCTAGATCGGGGCACTGTGCAGAAGGTTGTTGTTCTTCCTACCAACAGCTCGGCCAGTGGTGAGCTCATCCTGGAGGAGCTTGAAGTTTTTAAGGTTGGAACCTCTGTGTCTCTCTCTCTCCCTCTCTCTCTCTCTCTCTGTCCTCTCTCCGTCCCAGAGCATGCACGATGAATGTAATTCTCTAATCTTACAGCCACTTGGGAGGAAAAATACTTGATAAAAGATCAAATAAATGAATGTTATAAATTTTTGCCTGTAGGAAAACATCAGATAAAATGAGAAATCTGGAAAAATATTTTGGTGAAGTATGTGCTTATGCTTTAAGTTATCTTCACATAAAAGTATAACATTTTTTGCCAGCTGTCATCACAGTTTGAAGAATTTTGTTCATCATTACTTTTTAAACATGAGTTTTTGTGGTCAAGGTCTAGAAGACTTTGCTATGAAGGGAGTTTAGTCACTTGGTTCACCAGCCACTGAAACTCAAATGCTTTCACAGCTAATTGTTAGATAACCTCTGTCATGTTTTTGCAACCAATTATTTCGATAGAACAGCTTTGTTTTATTGCCTTTGCTTCAAATGTCACTGGATAAATAAAACAAATGTCTCTCACCACTTAAATCTTCATATTGTACCAGAGCATGAGATTTCATTGTATTATTCTTCTTTTCCTTGAGGTTTGAATTTCAAAAAAGATGAACAAAACAAACACACAGAGGGAAGTTCACTCACTTCCTTAAGTTCTCACCTGCTAAGGGCAGAGTCCTGTTCTTTATGAACCTGTGAGCCAGGAGGAGGGTTTGGTGTCCTGTTTGCCCTTACTCCTGTGAGTGTCCATCGCTGTAGTTGGAGTGGCGCATCTGGAGACCCAGGGAGCACTGCTGAGGAGTTACTAGAATCGCAGAGAAACACTGGTGTGGACCCAGGCCTGCTGCAGCCCACTTCTTCCAGCTAAGGCAATTAAGAGACAGTGGCTCAGGAGAACAAAAGACCAGAGAGCCCAGGCCTGGGCAGTAGCAGCACGTAGAGGTCCCAGCAGCAGAACTTCTTGAGCCCAGTGAGTTGCTGGGCTTAGCCGGGCAGATGCGGGATGTTCTGACTCCTGAATACACATGGTCACTAAAAATATTGAAGCAATAACCACATTAAGTGCCTAAAAAGGTATTGTAGTTAGATTTTGCTAATAAATTCTAAGAGTAAACAAATACAAGGATAATCAAGTCAAATATAAAAACTGAGGAGCTCTGGCAAATTTCCCTGAGTTATTAAATTTATAATTTTTAATGCTAAACTCACTTTATCATTAGGTTCTTCGTGATGAAAGCATTAAAATTGTTCTCACCATATTAATTCTCTCCATTCAAGCAGTTTTTCCAGTTGCTTTACAAAAGAATTTTGCTTTGTAAAGAAGTTGTTTTACTAAATTAACCAAAATTACAGTTACACACACACAGACATGCACACTCTTCTTATTCCATCTAATAGCAACAACCATTCTGGCCAAAATAATGTGATATACCCTATTCTGAGGTTATCTTGAAGAAAATCTATATTATAGCACTTCATTTTTAATATTCAAATGTTTTTTGATTATCAAGAAATGTTAATTAAGTGAGATTAATTCAAACCCAAACATACATGTTACGGAAAATTCTTAAAGCAGTGTGAGTTGTTCTGACCAAGTGAGAACTACTTACGGTCGGTTATGTGGGCGATGCTGCTGTTATCGTGGTGAATAAACTCTCCATGGAAAAACAGAGTCAGTCCGAATGTATGAGCGGGATGAGAGCCCCAGGGAGGAACTAAGCCGCTGTCTGGGCTTTCTTCCTGACGCACGTGCCTGTGATTGATGTGGCTAAGCCAAGAGACAAGCTACCATGACCAGCATGGTGTTTGTGTCACATTTCCTGAGGTGAAGTAAAAAGAATTGAGTGTGGATGATATGTTGCAATGGGTGCCTTAGGAATAATGCACTTAGAATGAAGGCAGCCCTCTTCTCTGTGTTACACTGATACCATGCAGAAACCTCAGTGTAAGTTCTGAAAACCACACGCTGTACAGTACAGACAACCTCATTCTCTTACTCCTGTGTTCATATCTTCTGAAAAAGTTGAATTCCCTCAAACTTCCATCAAACTGAAGGAACAATTATCAGTAGCTGCCTAGCTGGTTATAAATTGTAATGTCTGTGTGTGTGTGTGTGTGTGTGTTTATGAACAGGGATCAGAATTGCCACAGTTGACAGTTAAGATATCACCGTTTTCTCTCTTCAATGTTTGTAAGCTCGTACAACTCCAGAAAGCACAATATTTGAGATTACGTTGGGTTTTGAGTGCTTATTCTCATTTGAGTTGCTCACATAAATCTTCATGCATTTTCATCAGGTTATCAGAAATGATTGTTTAAGAAGTAGTTATGAATAGAGTGACTTTTAGAAGGATTACTACTACAGGAAATTCTTACACTTTTTCCCTCATTCACCTGTATCAAAAGGAGTCTTCCAATAATATTTCTTTGTTTTCAACAGTGAGAATGAATTAGTACGGGTCAACCAGATACCTATTTCCAAACCATACATAGCAGTTTCCTGGTGTCTGGCAAGTGTTGCAGGTGAGACTCAGATGGGCATCGAACCCCATGCCCCTGAGCCGCACACTTAGATCCAACCCCGACTTCATGGCTCCCACAAACGCAGGGTCCCCTTACCTCAAAAATTATTTGATACTGTAAGGTGTAGATGATGTGTTATAATTGTTCCTTTTTGTTTCATGCATTATGTAATTCATGCTCAATCCCCAAAGAGGGAAACATGCTTTATTCAGATGTACATGCACACAGAGAAAAATGATTCTTTGAATTTTTACCAAAAAGATCATTTATTTGAATTTAAAAGGCTTATAAGGGTCGCATTAGCAACTAACATGATGTTTTCTCATCTTTTAGACTCATGTTCCCATAACAACCATGAAAATCTCATCCAAAAAGGTAAAAACTAAGTCCTTTTTCTGTTCTTTGCATAGTAAAATGTTTCCTTGTATGGGAGACATTTTGTAATTTCTGAAAATTTAGTGTTAGTGTTGACAAACTAATTAATCATTTTTAAATGATACCACAAAGTCACTTTTAGTTTTGATGTAGAATTACTAGCGTTTAGCGAAAGCCTGAATTGGTTTATTTTTGTATAAAAGTTTGCGAGAGCAGAACAGATATACAGAAAGATATTCCAACATTTTGTATATCCTACAGTCTCAAATATTATAGTGTGTGAAGCCAACTAAAATAAAAGTAATCTCTCTGAAGGAAGAAGGTAGCATAATGTTTGGCTACTAGAATATCACACACTCTCCAGGGCTTCAAATGGCCAAGCGTCCCTCCTCTAGTTCTGGCTTTGCTCACAGGTTGGAAATGTGCAGTGCATTCTGGGATGGTTAGTCTGGAAGAAATGCTATATCCTAGGGTCTGTTAATGTCTGAAAAATTGAACATCTACAATCTTAACGGTCCAAGATGAGGAAGAAACACTTGGCTGTGCTTACCAGGGGTCTTCTAATGAATCTAATTGTACCTAAGCGTGCAAATATACAATGGCCAGGGAAAGAAGTGCCCATGCACACGCTCTCTGCACATGCAGAACACACACCTCTGCAGCCCCTGAGGTGTTAAGACGAAAGTTCTAAGGGGCAGAGCAGCATGATTGGAATGGTGTGGGCTTCAGGGTGGGGTCGACATGCATTTAATTCCCAGCCTGACCACAAAACATGGGAAAAATCATTGAACTTCTCTGGCCGAAGTCTCTACATCTGCAAGGTAATACCTTTTTCACAAATGAGTAAATCTATACAAATTCCCTAAAATAAAGTAGATCCTCCACAAATGCTGTCAGTGCAAGCCTGGGACTTATTTGTCTTGGACTAGAGAATAAAGGTTTTATGTGTCTGCACAACTGATTTCATAATTCTGGTTCACCATCGTTGATCTGTAAGACCAAATGTCTGTTACGTAGTCCGCCTAATCAGTCTTCTCCTCTTCACTCGGCTACATTTTATGAGGAAAAATAAACAAGGCACAATGGAGCCGAGGATCTCATCTGTAAAAATGTTTGCATGGTGTCTAACAAACATTTTCCCAAGTAACGAAGCCATTTGTCATGTTCCTCATGTCCCGGGGAGCTGATTCCCAGTCAGAACTGTCTTTGAAGTCAGCGGGGAAACCCTGTGTTTACCGTAGCTTAATGGAGAAAGTATCAGAGCAAAATCCACAGTGGACACAAATCCATCTGTGTAGCACAGTAGCCTGACACGAATGTGCAGGTTTCAGCCTAGTGGGAGCTAACATATGACATCTGACTTCAAAATCTTACATTGTAGATCATTAAAACCATTAGATATAGCACAAGGTAATTATTTCACTCTTTGGAATTCATTTGCAAAACTTTGGACTGCACTATTTTTTGATGTGAGAGAACTACAAATTATGCAATATGTCTTGTGTATATCTAAATATAAATTTAGTACCTTCCCTAATACTGAAACTATTTCATTGTCCATTTTTTTGCCCTTATTCTCAATTTATTCTTGTGTTCTGTACAGCAGAAAATAGTGGAAATAATGAAAGGAAACTATCTAGAAGAAACTACCTAAGTCTTTCTCAAATAAACCTTTCTCAAATAACCCTATGTGCTTTAAATATCTTAGTGAAGCTGATATATTCACTGTATTATTATTTGATTTACTCAATATACACTTGTTTCACATTTTCTTGTGCTAATGGTTATTGTTAAAATAAGTGATTGTTTTCTTATCATGTGAATGTCTAAATGAGGGCTCCATCAATTTCAGCACAAATTTAGAAAAAATTCAATTGATGTGAAAACAGTGATTCACTAAACATAGTAGATTTGCATGTGATTCAAGTGAAAATGTGTAAGCTGACAATTTTTGTTAATTAATGTTTACCTCAACTGTTACAATTAATTAACATTTATTTACTGAGCATTTTTTAGCTACAAGTCATTCATAGCATTTTATGGGGTGGTAGCACCTACCATATACATCTCTTACAAAACTCTAGGGTAAATACTGCGTCCTTCCACCTTCACCAGTGGGAAGCTGAGATTCAGAAAAGTTACACAGCAGATGTGTGGCTGGCCTGGGACTGGAACCCAGGATGTTGGCTGATAGACACCAGAAACTGGTGAATAAAGACATCCCCATAGATTGAATCCTGCCCCCCCCCCCAAACATGCTCAGCACTGGGAATTGAACCCAGTACTGAGATTTATCCCAGGCCTTTCTTTTTGAGACAGGAGCTATAGTTTGCCCAAGCTGGGCTGGAATTCACAGTCCTCCTGCCTCAGCCTCCCTGAGAGTTGTGGTCACAGACATTTGCCTGGCTGCATTTAGTTCTTAGATGTGCACCCACATACGGGAGAGAGTCTGCACACTCCCTTATGCCAGCTCAAGTTTCAGCTCAGAGATAGTGCTAACGTGACCTACAAGATATCACTCATTTGGAAAATAAGGAGTGTCCACTGGAGACGTTCTTTCAGCTCCTCAGGACATTTTGTACACTGCCAAAGACGTAATAGCGACACTTTGAGAAGCTCTTTATACCCTACAAATGAAGGAAGCTAAGATATTTATTCACGACTTCTCTAGGAGACAAAGAATTCTGGGTTCTGGGTCCTGGGTCATGTAGAAATTTTAAGATATGTTTCAATATAATTGCCAAAATATTCTTCCAAATAATTTTAAAGAGCTTTAATGAGTAATATGCTGCTTTCAAAGATATGACAAAGTATTTTTAATCTAATACTATTTTTTTCCTCTAAACCTAAGGTGCCCTTTATTTTAAACTGGACATTTTTCAAATTTACAACATAATGGGTTGCCAGACTTTAAAAATAAGAAAGCTTCCTTGTCCTGTGCAAAGAGACACTATTCAAAGAGCAAAGAAAACATCATAATTTAAATCTGCGATATATTAGCCCAAATCCGAGAGAACAATGCACCGCAATGTGTCACACACATTCCCATTCTCCACGGCGCTCTGAGCTTGCTTTCTGTAGCAGGAAAGTGATAATGTTATAGGCACATTAAGGGGGAAATTCTATTTATTTTGGCTTTCTACCCTCGTGTGCTTTGCTTCTCATTTTTAGTCTGTCTTAAAACGAGTCCAAGGGTTTGTGGGCATGTGCTATAATGTGTTCCTGCTGGAAATCTTCTTTTAACTTCCACATCTGAAATAAATCATTGTCACTCCTCTTACAGCAACAGTTGTACGTGAGCTCCAACGAAGGGCTTTCCCAAGTATCCCTGCACCGCTGCCACATCTACGGCACAGCCTGTGCCGACTGCTGCCTGGCCCGGGACCCCTACTGTGCCTGGGATGGCTACTCCTGCTCCAGGTTCTACCCCACCGGCAAGCGGTGAGTGCTGGGCAGTGCAGAGGTGGCCACATCCGTGCCACAAGAGCCAGTTCCTTAGCTGTTCCCTTATAAGGCAATGCTGAATGCAGTGCCATGAATGCCCTGTTCTAGAACTGAGGTTCGCATCCCTTCCCCGCCCTGCTGCTCTGCAAGAGTCCTCTGGAGGGCCGCCTCGTATTTCCTGGAGCACTCAGCTTTGTTTTCACATTGTCTAGCAGTTTATGGCTGTTTTGTCTTCTGTACTTCAGTGCACTTTTCAGTGCCACATCCCAAGGTTTCCCTACACTGCTTAATCATTTTCTAATTAAATATGTGTCTCCATATCACAGAAGACAGTTGATTACTGAAAGAGAGATGTTGCTGAGAAGGAAAGTAGCTAGAAGCATCACGGCAGGACAGGTGGCCTGACTGGCTTCCCAAACCTTGAGGACCCCGCTTTTCCCTTTGAGCGGTGAGAGCACAGCAGCTGCTTAGGTCAAGAGAGAAAAGAAGTCTGACACCAGGAATCTTTTGTTATCACAGCCAAGGTGTGGGCAGGAAATGCCCGGCCAATTTGCACCCAGTTGGAAGGAACCCCCGGTAGAAAAATTGATCATATGATGAAAAAAATGCAGAATTTGGGTCAGCCAAGGTCGCAGCTGTGTTCAGTCACCCCCTGATACGGGTCATGATGGGTGACGGGGTGCATCTGAGACACCGGGTCGGCCAAGGGAGAGTGTGGTGCTAATCCTGAGCACTCGTGTCTTGAGAAAGCACTGTGGCGATCCTGTCTTATTCTCTGTAACAGATATACTTTTATGGTCAGATTCAAATAACCCCACCGTGCACTTTCACATATCACAAGTATTTTGATCCTAGTATCTCTAGTTCGACACATACTCACCATAGGACAAATAATTTCCAGACATTGTTGTAGATGTTAGGCATATAACACAAGCAATGACCAGCGAAAGAGGAAAATCTCCATATAAAATATTCTAAAAGGAGAGGGCAGACAAAAAAGTAGAGAAAGGAAAACCTCCCATGTATCAAATAATGATGAGCAGCTGTACGGATGGAGAAGGGCGGAGAAGGTGGGTGGGATACCTGGGCAGCAGGCTGTGGCTGCTGAGGATGAGCTGGCCAGCCTGGATGTGGAGGGGCAGCTGCCTGTGCGGAGGAACCGAGGGAAGGCGGAGAGGCCTGGGGCTGCACGCACGCAGTATGATGGAAGCAACCTCACATTTCAAAACTGCTGGTGTTTTTTTAAACTATAATTGCACTGCACTCCCAGGTAGAACACCAGTGATACTTTTCGATTACTGTCACAACTCAGCTTTTAGGACGCAGTACATTTTTATCAGAAATAATCTACTCATTGGTATCTGTAGCGCCTCACACAGTCTTGACTCCATGGACCAGACGTAGCGCCGAGGCACCAGCTTGCCCCAGGACTGGGGCTCTAAGTTGACTCTCTCCATACTCCTTCTGGTGGATCAGCTTCTCTGTCCCTGTAAAGACCTCTCATCTGGGCAACACTTTTATTTATCAAAGAAAACTTCTCAAGTAAAATTCTATGCTACAGATAAACAGTCCTTGCATATCTGAGGTTTTGTTTTGTTTTGTTGTTTTTTTATATTTTAGAAGTTTCTACTGGGAAATGTTCCTATATTCTCCTACCTCTTACAATGCCAGTTACTTTTTTTAAGATGTGTATTAAAACCTATTACTGTCATCCTAACTCCACAAATTATGAGCTTAATCATGTCTTCTTAAAAAAAAAACAAGGACTGAAGTTATATTGCTGTTCTTTACTGTTCAAATATTCTGCATAGTATTAAACTATGTATCCTGGATTGAAAAAAGAAAGCAGTAATCATTCTAGAGTGTCTCTAGCAGTGACTTAATTCCACTGTGAGGATGATAACCAATATGTACATATTGATCTTTTTTTCCCTGTGCACTCGAGTATCTTAAATATTTGTGTATTTGTGTCAAATATTGCAATATAGCTTCTATTGTCATATATTCTAGGACCAGACATGTAATTAGAAATCTTATTTTAATATATGAAATGCCTGAACCTACTCATATCATGCTTGGCTAGCATATTGGAAATTTCAAGAAAAATATGTATACTATTTAAATTCTCCAAATTATTTCCAAATTTAATTAACCTTGTGCTTGCAGAGAATGCAAAGCTTGCTTGCTAAATATATTAACTGTTTTCCAAATTCCCATATGGAGTATTTATTTTCTTTAGAGATAAGGTAGTGATGAAGATGATTATTTCTCACATTCATTTTCTTTAATAGTGTTACCTTGTCTGGGTTTATTCTGCTTGCACTGTTTAGAAGACAAAACTCACTTAGCAAAATTCATAGGAATGAAAAGCAATGTGTGTCCTCTGCATGGAGACAGAGAGGTACATTTTTACTTGGAAATCCATGGAATCCATATGCTGCAAGAATAAAGTTAAATATAATTTGCTTCATTGTGTATGGTTTTAAAGGAACTTGGTGGATAATAAACAACATGAACTTTTTTTTCTGTCTCTCAAGTATCTTAAATATTTGAGCATTTGTATGGCAACTTAGACTCCCATGTTATTTATTCTGAATTAAGACATGTAGTTAAAAATTTTGAGACAAGATAATCAGTTCAATGTTCAAGTAAATATCTTTTCTACACAAGAAGAAAATGATTTCATTGTTTATCCAAATGAATTGACTATGATGGGTAACACATTGACAACTTGAAGTAAATCCCAAGTCCTATATGCAATATAGTATTACCCTGCCTACCAACAGGCTTTGGTGATGCTATACCAGTGCTTTCCAGACAACTGACACACACAGAAGGCTCTTGCTGAGCTCATCATTTAAGCCAACCATAACCATTGTTTTCTGTGTTTAAGTGTCTGGAAGCTGATACTCTACATTCACACTGCCCAGCTTGAGAGCTGACATGCTTTCATGACTGAACCATTCCACGGTGCTGATCCAAGACAATCAGTGGTACCCCTGGGAATGATGCTGCGCATCTAGAATGCGAAAGTCCCCAGGTCAGCCCTAAGCACCCTTGCAGGGCTGCATCTCTGTGAGCTTTTAAGTTGGTCAGCAGTAAGTGACCCTGTGACTTTAAGATGTAGCAAATCCAGTGCAGTGAAGACTGGATATGGAGCCATTCTGCAACATAGCACTGACTGCTTCCTGCCCTAAGAATGCCTACAGCTACTGTACTTTGTGTGAAAGGCTGTAGAGAAATACACAGCTTTATAAAGAGCATTTTTATGTGTGGAAATAAAGCATTGAGGTTAATTTTTTATATACGGATACCAGGTGTTCTAGTGCCGTTTGCTGAAAACACCATCTTTTCCTCTGCTCTTGAATTGAGTTTATATTCTATAAAATGTTAATGTTAAATAATCTTTCAAAACTCAGTGGACCATATATGTGTGGTTCTATTTCTAGATTCTCTGTTGTATTCCAATGATCTATATGTCTTTCCTTACACCAATACTGCCTTGATTACTGTAGCTTTAGAGGAAGTCTTAAAATTAGGTACTAAACGTCTTCCAACACTGCTTTTTTTTTTCTTTTTCTTTTTCTTTTTCTAGGTCCTTTGTACTCCCACATAACTTTTAAATTTCTATATCGAATTCTTCATTTATAGCAAGTATACATAGACCTGAATTTTTATATATACCTTGTGTTTTCTAATCCTGCTAAATTCAAATACAAGTTCTAGGGGCTCCTAGAGATTTCTTAGTATTCTCTTTGTAGATGATCATTTCATCTACATATAAAGATTTTATTTCTACCTTGTCAATCCTATCCTAATTGTGTCATTTTATTGCCAATCTCTTTTGATGGGGCCTAGGTTTCAAAGTTTAATAGACAGATGAAGAGTAGGCATATCTGCCCTTGTTCCCCACCTTAGGGAGAAAGCATTGTATCTTCTCCATTTATATAAGGCATTCTCACTGGAAGTATGGAGTACATGTCTTTAATCCTTTGAGAAGGTTCTGTTCTACTTTTAGTCTCCTGATAGCTATTACCATGAACAGCTGTAGAATTTAGTCCAATACTTTTTCTCCTACTACTGACAGGATCATATGACTTTTTCCTTTCCTCTGTGAAAATGATGACTTTAACGGGTGGATCTTCCAATGCTGAACCAACGCTGCCATCCCTATAACAAAACCACTTTCTACATCCTGCCAGATCTGACTTCCAATAGCTTGTTTCATTAAACAAATTTCTATCTATGTTCATACTTTTTTCTTCTATTATCTTTATCCAGTTTTAGGATTAGCACAATGTTGAGTTCCTAAAATGAGGGGAGAAGTGTTCCTTCTTTTATCTGCTTTAATTGTTTGGTTTAATTTATCAGTTAAAATGTATATGAGCCTGCTGTTGTCATATAGGTAGGTTTTTGAGCTAGGAATATACTTTTTTTAATAGGTGCTATTCAAATTTTATATTTCCTCCCCAGTCAGTTTCATTAATTTGTCTTCCAAGGCACTTCTTAGAAGTTGTGAAATTTATTTCAAAAAAGATTTTTGTAATATGCTTTCTATATCCTTTTAAATTCTGTATAATCTGTGGTAAATGTCTCCTAGATCTTGATATTGTAATTTTAAACATGTATAATTGATGTTGTGTAACAGGAAGAAAAGGTCTAAAGGAGCAGGGAAAGTGGGAGGGGTAGGGTAAAGGAAAAAAAGGAAAAGAAAAAATATGAGAAAAGGAAAAAAATGGAAACAAAGTCATTGCAAATAGGGAAGGGTGGAGGAGGTGAAGGGAGGGCAGGGGAAGGGGAAGAAAATAAGAACCAAGATGCTCATGTAATGGTACAAGGTCCCAATGATGAATGTAACTGTATTTTATACCAAAAATGTACCAATAAACTTAATGGGAAAAAAAATGTACCAATATAAAAGATTAAAAAGAAAAAGAAAGAGCATGCGACTTTTAAAAAGAGGAACACTTAAATTATACAAAATTGTACACCTATAGTTCCATAAATAGGTGTACACAATCTGTGTATACATAAAATATTAACTATTTGGTGTAACTTTAATATAAGTTGTTAAATTACTAATGACTGAGATTACCTTTGTAAGTTTAATCACCACTATGTAATTCTAATATTTCTGTTCATCTTACTGAATATTGGGGGTAAAAATAAGAAATATATAACATTTCATTCAATTAAGTGATAGCCACATCCATCCATACTTTTCATCAAAGACAGTGAGGGCTTCAACCTTGTATCCCAAGATCCAGTGAATCCCGGGTCTTCCCATTCCTAGCAGGGTCCCTCTCCATGATGCCTTGCTGGATGGATTTCAGTGGCTCCATTTTAATTTGTTACACTATACAATACAACCGAAACTAAGATAATGAATCAAAGACTCAGGAACTTACATAATTAAATGCAAGTAACTAAAAACTTTTATTTAAATAATGACCAACTTGGGAAGAATGTAACTAAATTTTTGAAATGCCTAAACTATTAATATTAAATGCAAAGACTGAGCCTTGAATGTATCCTAGATAAACTAAGTAAAAGTTTATAAGAGGCATTTTAAAGCTATAGCTTGCCACAGTCACTTACAGAATCTAGCATTTGCCTGGGAAATGCACATGTTAAAAGGTTCCTAGCCATCCCACCAGGCTTGTGGGGAGAACTGAGCTGATCTCAGTGGAAAAGCAGAAATGAGTTCCCGCCAGCAATGTGCTGAATGAGAGTGACAGACACTTCTATGGGTTACACAGACTTCAAAAAATAAACGCAGGCCGTCAGACATCTGCAAATTTGAAAATGCAGTGTTTTCATTGGCGGTGATAATTCTAAGCCCTTTTTATATATTTCTGTACTGCAGGAGGAGCCGGAGGCAAGATGTGAGGCACGGGAATCCACTGACGCAATGCCGAGGGTTTAATCTAAAAGGTACGGAAGGGGCCTGGTGCCATCTGGGTAAATCGAGCAGCACCTCACACCGCATTTCCTTGAGGAAAGTGCTGCAGCGTGCTCCAGCATTTCATTTTAAAGAAAGTCTCGCCATAATAATATTGGTTTAAGTTCACGATGATTAAAAATTAAATGTTATTTGTATGAATACTGAGAATGATGAAAATCCAAAGTCTGGGAACACATATGTCTGCCGAAGGCGGCAAACGTATGTTAGCTGGCAGGTCTTTCCACCCACTGTAATCATTGAGATTTCTCTTAACTCCTGTTTCCTTTCTCAAGAAGTTTACTCATGAAAAGCACATAGAATCAGTATCACAGTAAATATACCTAATATAAAACTTTCCGCTTGGGCTCCTTCTAAATGTGCGTTTCTGCAGGATTGAGTCACGTGTCAGATCTGTCCCCAGCATCATCTTCCCAAACTGAAATTGCACACTCGTGTAATGCTGCCGTACCATTCACCACGAGCGGTCCTGGGGTGAGCAGAGCAGGGCTGACAGTCCAGCCGTGAGGCTCCTGGCGCCCTGATCCCATCCTGACAGAGAGAAGCGCGTTGTTAATCTTTCTTCACTAATCCCTGCCCTCCGCTCAACCCCATGAACCAGAAGGGTCTCAGCCACATCTTCCTCCTGGCTCACCAACAACACGCTTCCGGTGTGTTGTTAAAACCAACAGGCTCCTATTTCTGACCCATTCATGTCTGGGCATTCCTTTAATGAGGAATTACATTTTTATTGCTAGCTACTCTAAGAAGTAAATTAAGGCAGATATTTCTTAATAGTTCCATACGTTGAATTGAGGGAACAAATCTGGCCCGCTATTTCCATATTTATTGAAAGTTTTATAAAATCTCTGTCAGTTCCTATTAGTACTAGTAGCTGGCATTATGGTAAGTATTGCAGTAGTGAAGTAATGGCAAGTATTGATGTTGACTTTAGGGTAAAACCTGAATTAAGTGCTTTTTTGTGATTATCTCCTTTAATGTTTAAAAGTCTATTATAAAATAGAGGCTGCTATCCCTGATTTATGAATGAGGATCCACTCTGTGTTTAAACTACCACATGACTATACTAAATCCCTACCTGCTTTACTACTTATATTGAAAAGTGCAAAAATCTTTAATCCACGATTTCGAAATGAGAAAAGTGCAGGGTTAGAGAGATGGGTGAGTTGTTTGGGGTTACACAGCCATCACAAGTGAACCCTGGTTCCCTCTGACCCCAAACACCTTTGTTCGCAAGCTCTGCCCACTGCGGCCACCCTGCCCCTGTGCCCTGTCCTTTCCAGGGGATGGGAGTGTGGCTGGGGGCAGGGGGGCCACTGCCTAATCCACCTGAACTCACCAACTTTTGTCTTTTTTTCTTTACATGAAACAGAACTGGTAAACACTGTAAAACAGTTTGCTGGTGAAATGATTGCCTTCTACTGGCTCCTACATTGGATCCCAATTTTGCAGAGAGATAAACATGCATGTAGAAGAGCATGCTCTAAATTCCACTGTTAATCTCTCTCCCTCCCCCTCTCTCCCCCCTCTCATGCTCTCTCTCTCCCTCCCTCTCTCTCTCTCCCTCCCTCTCCCTCCCTCTCTCCCTCCCTCTCTCCCTCTCTCTCTCCCTCTCTCTCTCCCTCTCTCTCTCCTTCCCCCTCTCCCTCTCCCTCTTTCCCTCTCTCTCTCCCTCTCTCTCCCTCTCTCCCTCTCCCTCTCCCTCTCCCTCCCTCCCTCGCCCCCCCCCCTCAGGATATAGAAATGCAGCTGAAGCCGTCCAGTATGGAGTGAAGAATAATACCACTTTTCTTGAGTGTGTTCCCAAGTCCCCACAGGCTTCCATCAAGTGGCTGTTGCAGAAGGACAAAGACAGGAGGAAAGAGGTGAGTCACTCACAGGCTGCGACCCATCAGGGGCTTTGGGAAGAAGGTGAAGTCTCCAGCCCTCAGCAAGGTGCACTTCAAAGGAAAGAGCAAAGACAAACAAACATCCTTTCATGCTGCTTTCTTCCAAACGCTTTAGCCCTAGAATTGATGGATTAATTAGAAATCCCCTGACACCCACCTCTGAAGCCCAACAACTGAAACAAGAGCTTGAATACCAAGCCAGGTTCCCACACAAGGGCACCTTTGTGTGATTACAAGATAAAAAGAGGCTCCAAAAATGTTCAATTTCCCGCAGCAAGAAATTACTTTGAATGGGAACCGTTATCCAAGGAGCACTTTTCTGCTCTGCAGTAATCTATTTATATTGCTTTATTATTCCTAACTCTCAGGTTTCCCCCAGGTAATATATGGAATCGTTGTTAATGGGACCATTGCCTTTATTTAGAGTCATGGAAAAAATGCCCTAGGTTTTCAAATAAAAAGACACAGATTCTAATGTTTCACTGATTGGAAAGAAATTTTAACAGAGTCATTGTTAAATGTCACAGAGTAAAATATTGTAAGAATTCCATAATCTAGATGTCATTTTACCCTGACAAATGAGAAGAGGGAAAAATGTGTGCATATGTACAAAGCCTTGGGGAAGTCAAAAGTGTGCTATTTTTAGTAAAACATAAGAAGACTAGACCCCCTATATTTGCGTATTCTTTTCTGCTGCAGGCAATTTTATTTCTACATATTCAGTTAAGGGTTTGTAAAATGGATATCGTTTATCTAGCACCCAGAAACTGCACTAAAGTTACTGAAATGTTGACTCCATGAGAGAAAATACATTCCAACCCTCAGAGTGCCTATCCCATGTTGCTGGCTCTGTAGGGAATTGCGCATTGGGATACTGGGATAGTCATTGGGACACTTATGCTTCAGACAGCCACCCCTGTGACAGGAGATTTAATTATCTGGAGGAAAGAGGCACCTCAAGAGTTCTCTTTAAACCCTAGAAATCTGATACCTAACAAAATGAAACTTAAAAAATTTATCGGAGTTTTTTTCCTATAAAAATCTGTTACCAAAAAGCCTTAAAATTTGTACAGTCTAATTATTCACATCTTTTAGAACAAGGTGGGTAGTGATAACAGCTGCCCTGCAAAATCACCTGAAGCTCAGTGTGTGTGTGTGACAGTGATCCACGTGAGTTCTCAGGCCCTTGGCTGTCCTGGTCACCCAGAGGACAGTTAACACATAGCATGCACGTGAGTAATGAGACTGTCTCCGAATCCTGCAGTTCTAATCATAGCATTTCTAGTATCAGATATGATATGATAGTATAGATGTAATTACAGCAGTGTCATCAGCGAAACAAACTCTGGGTACACTTTGGTATTTACTACACCACAGCTGTTAAAAAAACATTTTTCTGGGGCAGGGGATTTAGCTCAGTGGTTTCGCCGCCTACTGCGCAAGCGCAAGGACCCGAGTTCGATCCCCAGTACCAAAAAATAAATCAATAAAACACACACATTTTTCTTAGCGACTCTCCCACATGGCTGGCACAAAATACCCAGCACCGCACCTTACAGAAGGGAGGTTCAGTCTGCTCGGGGTTCCAGCCCGTGGCAGCCAGCTCCGCAGCAGGAAGGGGCTGGCGGAGGCCTGGCGGGGACAGCTGCTCACCTCAGCCAGGAAGCAGGGAGAGGGAGCGGCCGAGCTTGGCTCCACCCTTCCGTGTCACAGGCACCGGACACCTCCCGGCTCCAGCGCTGCGGGCGGGATCGCCCAGGGGTGTCCACAGGTCCTCAGCACATGTTACTATGTTGAATTTTCTTCCAATCACAAAAACTTGAGTAAATAATTAAGATGATAAAATGAGCACAGCTGTGAAACTTTTGTCCGAATTTAAACAGAGCATTGTTCCCCTCATTCCTAATTTAGTTGCATAAACCTTTAATATTTTATTTAATTCATTCTGATGCTTGCTGTTTCAAGCAAACATGCATATTTCTCATATTACTGATGTATAACAGCTGAACATTATATTTAAGATAAATGATAAAAGTTCCCAAAGCAAAACTCAAATAGTTCATATTGAGTAGCATGAAGTGAAAGCTAAATACCCTCTTCCCCCTCAATTCCTACTCCCTCTTCCCAGAATAAAAGGTTACCAAGAATTATATATGAAGTTGTACATTCCTCCGAATGCGCTCTCTGGCCCCACCAACATAAATTGATATCAGTTCCTGTGGAGTGCCTCATTTTTCTTTCATGTATAATATTCTATTATTGTGCGAAGTTACCCTGAAGCTACTCTGAATTGTTTTTTAAGTCAGCTCCACTGAGGTCAGTGCTAATTCTTTCTCTTAATCAGAATCAACCCATGAACAAGTATCTCTGTGCTTAAGGGACTACAGCTTTGAGATAAATTCCTAGAAAAGAAATGGTGGTGCCAAATATCATTGGCGTGTTTTATGGATATTACCAAATTGGCCGCAAGAAATTTTTCCCAATTTTACATAAATATGAAAGGCTTTCATTTAAATCCTAAATATACATTTTTACTATGTAAATTACTTTGAGTCACATTTGAACTTAAATATTAATTATTAAATCCATGTTTTCTTCTTCTTTCGAATGATTTTCCCTTTCTTAATTATATTCTGTCATCCACCTTTCAGTAACACTGTGTGTGCTTTAGAGTGTGCCTTACTTTTCATCCAAAAAAAATCCTTGATTTGGATTTTATTAATAACAAGATTCCCGTATGTACAGAATTTTATAATTTAGGAAACTGTAGCACCTGTCTCACCTGTTTGATCCGGGTTGGATTTCTTCCTTCCTCGGGGAAAGAGAGGTCTGCAGGACACGCAGAGAGCTTCTCCCCCGTCTGGTCTCTTTACTGGCAGTGCTCTGGCCAGAACTGTGAGGAAAATGGCTAGAAGCACTGAGCTCCCTGGCCTGCCCAGATCATTCCTCCAGCATGGAGCCCCTCAGGGCTAAACCCCAGCACATGTCTATTCCCTTCCTCCAGAGGGAAGGCTTCCTAGGGGAGATAGAGGGTGACTTGTATATATTTACAGGTGGGATAATAGGAAAAGCCCTTTGGAAATATTCAGAACTCAGCTTCTCCTTATATGTGGTCTTTCCTTATTATATTGAACACAGATTTACTGGAAAAAGAAAGACTACTAGTTGTGGCATCATGCTTTGATAAGTAAATGGTATTTTGGTAAAGATGAGAGTGGAGAACTTAAGGATAGAGTAGATGTTTTAAATTATCTGTGAAGGTCAGCCCGGTGTAGTGGTGCAGGCCTACAATCCCAGCATGCTGGAGCCTGAGGCAGGAGGATTGCTGTGAGTTTTAGGCCAGGCTGAGCTACATAGTTCAAAGCCAGGCTGAACTACATAATGAGACCCTATCTCAAAAAATCAAAATAAATAAACAAACTTTATCTGTGAATTTCACTTTATGTTGCTTGTGATTTAGATTCCAAAACCAACCACAACTCTGTCCTTGTGTGTGAAAAACTCCTTCTATCCAAAGGGAATGCTCCTTGTTTCTTCCAATATGAGGAATGCCTCCCTCTTTCCTGAGGTAGATCCCATACCCTGGGCGAGCTCTGCTATTCTAAAGAGGCCGTGCAACTCACCAAAAGTAGTAAAAAGCCAATTCTTGCTCTGCCCTTCTGTCAGATTAGTGAAAGGTCCGCTGTGTTTTATATATGTGGGTCCTAGCCTTGTGGACCATACAGCCTTCAGTTCAGGAACTCCTCTGTGTTTCTCTCTTAGGTGAAGCTGGGCGAGCGCATCATCGCCACCCCACAAGGCCTCCTGATCCGCTCTGTCCAAGATGCCGACCAAGGGCTGTATCACTGCATCGGGACAGAAAACAGCTTCAAGCAGACCATAGCCAAGATCAACTTCAAAGTTCTGGATTCAGAAATGGTGGCTGTGGTGACCGACAAGTGGTCCCCGTGGACCTGGGCCAGCTCCGTGAGAGCTCTGCCCTTCCACCCCAAGGACATCCTGGGGGCCTTCAGCCACTCGGAGATGCAGATGATCAACCAGTACTGCAAAGACACGCGGCAGCAGCAGCAGCTGGGCGACAAGGCTCAGAAGCCGAGGGGGGACTACGGCAAGCTGAAGGCTCTCGTCAATGGCCGGAAAAGTAGGAACAGGAGGAATCAGTTTCCAGAGTCATAATACTCCCTCACGTGGGGCTTCTGCTTCCAGTAACAAATGCTCTGTCTTCAGTGATCAAGTTTTGAGCAAAATAATCTTACGCTTTTCCCATGAGAAATTCCTGACAAGAGAGAATGACTTTCTCCTAAAGTGAGTTTTCCATGGACTGAAATGAGCATGCGTTTTCTTGTACGATGTTGACTAGCACTAGACACGTCATGTCCTCATGGTGCGTATAAATATTTAACTTAACCCAGATTTTATTTATATCTTTAGTTATTTTTTCTTCAAAACCAACATGGCATGTACGGAAGGAGATCTGTTACATTGAACAAAGGCCGTGACCCTGAGACATTTCCTCCCTGATTAAAGGTTTAGATTTCTAATCGTCGATTCCAATGTAAATTCCAGTTCACGACTTTCACATAGTAAAAGTCATATAAATGCAGGTAACAGAATGGCCATGAAAAGAGATGTAGAATAATAGATGGGATAAGACAGTATCTAAATATTATATAAAAACATGAATGATTGATGAAGAGAAAATGATGAGTTTATCTGCTTCCAGTGAAGTTTATTATTCCTTTAAGCTTGTTAAACTGTCAGTTGCTGATCTCTGTCATTGATCTTTCTTCCCTTGTTTCAGGGAGATAAAATGAATAGCCTGTACCACAAAGATCTTGGAATCAGTTATGTCATGATGCTTTTAGGTTTATATAGTTATGTTATCCTCTTCCAAACAAAAGCACTTTCCTTTTTTGGAAGTTATTTAAGTTATTATAGACTTAAGTATAATCTGAAACTATTTAATTGATTACTGTTTTGATTCTAATTTTCTTGTCTGCATGGCAAATTAAAAAACCCAAAAAGAAAACATTTTTAAAGCATCAGACTTCTACAGGAGGAGTGAAACCATCAAAATCAAAGGATGATATTTAATGTTATCAGGAGGAATTTATAACAAATGTAGGTAGCTTTCATACCTCTGATAATCAGGTTTGCCAGTTAACTCCCAGTTAAAACGGAAAGTATCACATGTAGTGACATTTTAGACAACATTCTATTGTTTATAATTATTTATGAAGAAAGGAAAATATATATGTGAACAAAAATAGACATTCTTAATGAATATCTCAGAGGCCTATTTTTGTTATTATATTGTTTTTCCTTGCAAATATTTTTTAAAAAGGATGTTGGTACTTATGTTCTATGGTCTATGAATGTAAATGTGGCAAGATGTGTGATCAATAATTCTCTTCTAATTGCATTTGGGGGTAGTTTTATTAAAATAATTTAATACTAAAATTATTTTCTCCAAATTAAAACAAATTGGGGAAATGGGAGAAATTTCCTCACATTTTAATATTTCTTTTAAAAATACAACTTTTGCTTCTTCATTTTTGTTTCTAGGTCAAAACAAAAATTGCACCATTTGTCTGTTGAAAATCTAGTACAAAAATTTTATTTCTAGTTAGTAATTCATGAAGAAATATGAAATTTCAGACAGCTATTTCACCTTTTTGAACATTGAGGTGTAAAAGCCCAAGAACTAAAATCTCAGCTAGGAATGTAGATCAGTGGTTAGAGTCCATGCTTAGTAAGAAAGGGCCCTGTGTTTAATCCCAGTTTCAAAAAATATACACACAAAAAACTAAGATATTGGTCAAAAGAATGTGGCCGTTGATTAGAATCTAAGAACATAATTTATTATCTAAGTGGTGATAAATTTCAGCATTCTAAGAGGAGGCATCCGTATTGCAAAAGTAATCATTAACATGTACAATGCAAATGATATTTATTAGGAGCTATTGTTCCAAATGTATATGATTTTAAATCTCTACAGCAATTTATTATATAAATGGCTTCTGTGCTTAAAAGGTGACACTTTCTCCTCTACATGTACAAATAGCAGCGTAGGTCAACGTAGAGCCAAAGTTGCCTCTGTGTTTGTGGTTCTGTTCACCATATGGAGTTAAAAGTACAATTGTTGTAGAATCACAGTTCCCCTGCTGCACATAGACCCAAACTGACAGACAGTGCTGGTGTTTAGTTTTATATTATCTGTGCTATTTAATGCCTTCTATTTTGAACAATGTTGAATTCTGTATACTTTTCTTACTTTTGTTTTAAAACTACGGAATGTCCTCTTGAACACAACTTTGCCAAATGTCAAGAAATTTTTCTTACCAAAAAGTCTGTCAATGTATCCTGAACATTGTTGGTTGATTGGTTTTGGTTTATGTTGTTTGACAATGTAACGGTTTAACGTGTTTTCCATTTGCATTGTATATAAAATGTCCTAAAAATGCACTTTTTCCCTCCAAAGTGTAGGTAGATTTTGGCATGATGAAACTGTCATTTTGGTGAATGTTTACTCTGTCAGAAGAACTAAATGTAGTTTTCACACTGACATTTCCTTAGATATCGAAGAAATCATTTGCCTGGCGAAATAAAACATTCTGAATTCCCACAAGGATGTCTTTAGCTTTTCTTTTTATTGATGAGTTAACTGAATGACGATAGAACCTACTGAAGTATAATTTTAAAAGATTTTTTTAACTTATCCATTTTTGTGAAATTGATACTGGTAGATACTGCAAATTCTAAGGATTCCAGGATACACGTGTGAAACTTCCTGTACCACTAGACTTCATTCAAACCTAACCTTAGAGACATTCAGTCCAGTGTCCCTTTTCTGTGCGTGTTTCCAAGATATTTTATAAATGTGCCACAGATAAATTTTTTCTCCCAAGTATTGTACATCTACCCATGTCTACAGACAATTCTTTGGAATGTGTTGTCACTACATTTTCTGAAATTAGAATTTAGACGTCCATTGACTTTGGAACCAGACTACCTGGATTTGAATCCAGGCTCATGGTCCTAAATGAGGAATGGTTTTGATTCATCTCTTATACTCTACATAAGCTCATACCTGTCATGTGTTAGGACAGAACATGTGTCACAGGAAATATTTAATAACTCTTCTTATATCTCCTCTTTGTGAAGATGACATCCTGCTAGAATAAGATGTGCTCTATTTCAAGGTGAGTGCCAGTGACTCGGGTGAGAAACCTTTATAAAATGATGGGCAAGCCACAGGTGAATGCATAATCCTGCTGACACATCTGAATACAGAGCTAGTGAGCTCTCTTCTGCCTGCCTCTGTGTTCAGTCTGTACTTGTGTGAGTGGAGACAGAAGAAACAGCAGAAAGTAAATGTTCTCTCAACAGAGCTTCCAACCTGATGACCCTGCCCCTCCCAGATGCCTCAGTATTTCTCACAGCTCCCTCACTGATATTGAACTTTGCCTTAGTTTTAAATGAAATTAATGCATTTTTGTAATATTAATGTATTTCTGAAGGTTATGCCCCTTGCCTTCATGAAGCTTTTTAAGGAAAAAGATGACAGTTCTCTCATCTATTCTGCTGCCGATGGTAGGGGAGACCTCGTCTTTGTTCTGGAATCTAGTGAAGCCTGCTCAAAACAAAAGTCTGGACAGACTAAGCAACAGTGCTTATTTAAGAATTTATTAAAAATATTAAGAGTTTATTAAAATCCTAAACATGATAACAAAGCTACAGAAGATCATTAGAAATCATTAATGAAGCTATAGAAGAACACATAAAAATATGTAATTACTAAAGAGTTTATCCTATCATCTTTTAGACTAATTTTTGCAGAATCAAACCCTTTGCAAAATTAGATCACAAAAGTTCAATGGACATGTCTTATTAGCTTCATTGTCAATAAGTTGTTTGCTATATGAACCTCTGATATATATTGCCATTTTTATGGTATCATAGCAATGTGACTGTCCTAGTGCACAGGTATCAAGAGTTAAAAGAATGAGCTCCAAACTGAAAAAAAAAAAATGCCTCTTAATTCCAGTGACTCCAATGTATTTGTCCATTCACCTCATAAAATCCTACTTTCCACATAGTTTGAATTGTGTATTTCTCAGGGCTATTATATTGCTGCACTCAAGTGTTACTTACATAATGTGCTATTAAAGAATGACATTATAACAAACACATTAAATCTGTTTATTCTATGTAAGGTTACCTCGCAACCCCCAAGAAGAAACACTGGGTGGATTTCTAGTTCTCAAGTGCTTTTTTTTCCCTGAGTTACTCATACAAAAAAAATATCATCCAAAAACTTTATGAGATCAAAAATGCAACGATTTCTGAAAGGCTGAAATGTATATATAATGGAATTGTTATGAAAATAAAAGTCTTCCCTATTGTTTCTCTGGAGAGTTTTCAACATAGATATGATCCTTGGCTCAGGAGATGAAAGGAATTTATTTCCTTCTCTCTTACATCTTTTAGTAATGGCATTGCTGCCGTTTTACATAGTTATGGATTTTAATTCACTTTTATTGATTTGGGAGTGCATTATAATAAACTGGACTTCTCTGCTATACCCTGGACATTCAAAGAGACATTAGACCTACAAAGTTCCTCCTTTCCAGTGGAGGGGGATTGGAAGTTGTTGGAAGTTGTGGTTTGATAATAGCATTTTGTCTCATGAGTAGGAAAAGTGACCCACAGCAAAAAGCAGAGATACCCCCAAACCCCGCGGCAGTCCTGCTGATATTTCTGAGCTTATATGTGTGTCCGTGGACTAGGTCCATGTGTGTTCATAAATCAACCATTTATTATTTGAAAACAAATCTCAATTCCCAATTCAAATTTCTCCTTTAGCTTTTCTGATGCTCTCTCGTGCTCCTGTGTCCTTCCCTCAGGTGCTGGGGTACTGGCTGGTCACCAGCCCCGTCAGCACCCAGGGCTGTATTTCCTCTCCTCCAAATCGGGAGCAAGTTCTTGGCTCCTTCTTTCTCCACCCATCTGGTGAGCTGCGAGGTGCCAGATGCCAATGATGGTACAGCTGCCTGTGAATGTCACCCTGGTGTCACCCCGGGGTCCCCTGTGTGTGAGCGGCTCCACCCTCAGGGGACCCCTCCGCCAGGCCACCCGCCTTCCTCCTGTGGAGAAGCTGGAGCTACACAAGGACATCACAGCAGCAGTTATGGTACCAGAGAAACCCATCCCCTCACCCCGGAAAATAGCCATCTCTGGTGTTCTTCACTGTAGTCCTGGGACTCGAACTCAGGGCCTCACCTGTGCCAGCCAAGGGCTGTCATGCTGGAGCTACGCTTTAATGCAGACCACACAGGCTTGCTCTCCACAAAGCCAGCGGTTACGGCACCGCAGCAGATTCACCATGGACACCGATTTCTCCAAGTATTCAAGATCGCAGTCCACGGCCCTGAGCCAGGCGGTCTCAGGTTCTTCTGTGCAGTCCTGACCGCTGATACCTGTGACAGCAGCTCGGACCACCACCCCACAGTCTTCTCCACCTCACAGGACGCCCGCCCCGCCGAGGGCAGGACTGGAGTGAATGGTCCCGGCGGGAGGCAGCACTTGTTCCAGGTGCACGAGGTGCTGGGCTTGCTGAGGCGGCTGAGGGTGCGGAGCAGGTCCAAGGCCCCCCTGCCCCTCAGCCACACCAAGGCAGAAGGAAGAGCCTGAGCTCCTCCTGCCCCTTGGGATGCACAGCAGCTGGGTGTGGTCAGCACTGTGTCCCTGGGAGCCAAGGAGGGCTTGACCTCCTGTGATCTGGATCCAGCCAGCTGACTTGGCAGGTAGGAGTTTCTATCAGCATGGTTATTATCAGTTTGTGACTTGGGACTGTGTTTGCAGCAGCAGCAAGTTGCCTCACTGTTGGAGTTAATTTGATACGTCCAGCACATGGCGGGTCACCAAGTCATGTGGTGTCAGCACCTGCACTTGGAACAGGGCCACCTGCTGGTTCACACAATGCAGGGATGCAGGGGAAGGTAGGGCCAGAAAGGCCCCACCCTGACCTGGAGTCAGGAACAGCCTTCCCAGCCTGCTCTACACAGCGCTCCAACACTGAGCTGTATCCTCAGCCCCCTTTTAATTTAATGTATTTTACTTTGGCACAGAAACACTCTGCATTTCCCTGGCTGGTCTCAGCCTCCTGAGAAGCAAGGATTACAGGCATATGTCCCCATGCCTAGCCTGGCTTCTGTCCACATTTCTCTGTGATGCTACACACTCTACTCAGCTTTCTGCTTCTTTCCAGGAGGTTCTAAATGAGACATTTTCTGTCTGTTTTATAAATGGAAAAGCTGAGGGACTGCAGCAGTTAGAGACTTTCCCCAAGGTAAAACTTCTCCACGGGCACAAACTGTGAAAAGCAGAGGCTGGCTCTGAACTTCATCATGCACAATTTCACTCTGGAGTATCCCAGGAGAAAAAGATCCTGAGGGTGGGTTTCAGGAGCAGCCTCTGTATTATGATTTGCAGGACTGTGGGTGATAAATCCAGGGCTTGAAGCTGGAGGCCCTGTGCTGGATTTCAAACTCACTGCTTCCTAGGTTTTCAGGTCTGAGATCCTCAGACCTTGTCATGGAAAGGGTTAGATTTTACCTGATGTAAGATGAGCATCGGATCAGGGCTGACTGCTTTCATCACCAGGAGTGGGGTTGGAAATGCGACTTGTCATTTCAGCACATATCACTGAGCACTCACTAGGCGGCAGGCGCTATTTGCGACCATAGCAGAGGACAAAGCAAGGCCTCTTCACAAAGCCTACTTTCAAGTGGGGAACAAAATGCAGGAGTAAATAACTAATAGGCTGGGATGAGACAATCGCTGGGAAGAAAACCGAAGGAAGGTAAAGGGCTCCTACATACATCAGGGGAGGGGCGTTGTAGGTAGAGCAGCACGCACACAGCTCTAGGGTAAAACAGTGGTGGCAGACCCAAGAAGGAAAAAGTGTGCAGAGGAATATGTGAGAGTGGAAGACAGCTGTGAGACGGGACTAAAGACAGAGAAACCAGGCCCCTTGGGTCCTGATGAGCATGGAGAGTTTCAGTTTTCATCTCGGGTCGCATGAGGCATTGGAGGGACAGGAGCGACTAACATCCTATGCCGCAGCTTGCTGGCTGTACTTTAGTGTCCTATGAGAGGAAAAGTGAAAACAAACAACCAGGAATCCTAAATAGACAGCAGATTTAAAAGTGGACTTTGACTCACTGAGGATCTAAACAGTTTGTAGTGGGTTCTCTGGGGAGCCCTGGAGAACAGGGAGGAGGTGGCAGGCACCTGCACTGCCCTGAGGATGAGGAAGGGAGGGCAACTTGCCCAGAGGAGGGCAGAAGGGAGCCTGGAGCAGCAGAGACAGAGGGAGGAATGGCTAAGGCGTTAGGAACCCGCACAGCCAGACTGCAGGGCACAGGCTGACTCAGACAGGGCCTGGAGATGGATGCAAACCAGCTGGGGTGATGCAGGCAGGGACACTGGGCGGACCCCAGCTGGCCTGGGCCAGGTCCCTCTTCCTGGCTTAATTTACTGGGGAAAGGAGACACTATAATCCTGCATTTCAAAACCAGCTGTCTGAGGGCAGGGGAGGGTTACAGGATGTAGTCCGGCAGAGTG